CACCGAGCAGCGCCCGCTCTACACCGGGAACTCGGGGCTCGGGGATGAGAAGGACACGATCCTGCCCGCCCCCCGCGCCCCACAGGGACACGGCCGCTTCAGTGTGCAGAGCGGCCAGAATCCCGCGGGGGAGCCACGCTTGCAAAGCACAGGAGCCCCACGCAGGCCTCCGGCAGCAGGTGTGGAGCCCCGGAGGGCTCCGGACCCGGAAGGACCGAGGGGCAAGGACGGGAGCCGAGGTGAGTTTGCACCCGCCCTGGAGGCCGCCCAGGCCGATGGCGCTTTCCTGTTGGGTCTTGGTTTTCACCAAATCGAGGCCGCGGCCTTGAGCTGCAGCTGGTGGAGTGGGGCTGAGCTCCTCCCTGCCCAGCGGAGACGACCCTTCTCTCTGCTCGCTCCCCGGAGCCCAGACCACCGCCCTCCACCCCAGCGCTGGCTCCCCCCTGGGGCCCCCCTGAGCGACCGGCCGGAGTTGGAGGCAGGTGTATCTACACTTTTCCTCTAGAGCGGTGGTTCTCAACCTTCCTAACCCCGCGACCCTTCAATACAGTTCCTCATGTCGTGGTGACCCCCAGCCATAAAATTATCTTCGTTGCCACTTCATAACTGTAATGTTGCTACTGTTATGAATCCTCATGTAAATATTTGATATGCAGGATGTATTTTCATTGTTACAAATTGAACATAACTAAGGCATACCGGTTAATCACAAAAACAGTATGTAATTATATATGTGTTTTCCGATGGTCTTAGGCGACCCCTGTGAAAGGGTCGTTCGACCCCCAAAGGGGTCGCGACCCACAGGTTGAGAACCGCCGCTCTAGAAGAAACCAGATGCTCAGGCCCGGGCCACGCTGGGAACGCCATGTGGTCACTGTGCGCAGTGTCCGCGCTGGAGAAGGGGGAGGCCCAGGCGTCCGCTGTTGACCTAACAGAGAATTGAAAGTACTTATACCTTCGAACATTTGCAACTTGGAATATTGTCTCCTAGACCACCGTTTGGGGTGAGACCGCCTGCCAGGGTGATGGGCCCCTCGCAGGCAGGGTGACCCCACAGCCACCAGGCGCCTCCGCTGAGAGCGCTCGCGGCAGCGATGGATTGAGGACCTGAGCCGCTCTGCGGGGCCGAGGACAGTGCTGCCTCCAGATCTTGGGTAGTTACTCTCAGGAGCTCACAGAGCTGGAGTGTGTGAAGGCTCGATGCTGGGATCCCGTCGGTGGGCACAGCGGGGCGAGCGGGAAAGACAGATGAGGGAGCTTTTTTCTTTTTTACGTTTTTTTTTTTTAAGTTTTATTTTAGAGGAAGGGGGGGGAGGGAGAGAGATAGAAACATCAATGATGAGAGAGAATCATTGATCAGCTGCCTCCTGCACGCCCCCTACTGGGGATTGAACCTACAACCCAGGCATGTGCCCCCAGCTGGGAATAGAACCATGACCTCCTGGTTCATAGTTCGATGCTCAACCACTGACCCACCAGGAGTGGGGGGGACAAGCGCCTGGCCTGTCGCTGGGACAGCCGGGTCCTGTTTGAACGTGTGGAACTGGGATGCTCTTAGATGGAATTAGGGAGCAGCAGTACTGGGTTTTGAGACGATGCAAGCGAGACCCTGGGCTGGCCTCCAGGGGTGAGTTAGCTCAGGTGACGTGCTCCAGGAAGAGGAGCTGTGCAGGGAGCAGCGAGTGGGCGCAGGGACGCCTCTCTGAGAAGGGCCCTCCAGCCCACCAGTGCCCGCTCTCAGGGCCTGTTTCCGGAAGCTGCCAGGCACCGGGACAGGAAGGACTGGGCATGTTTGGGGACCTAAAGGAGGCTGGATGGATGGAGGGAGTGAGGGGTCGGCCATGAGGTGGGCCAGGGCCAGAGCGGGCAGGAGTGGGGTGTGAGTGAGGGAAGCCCTGGGGGGGTTGGGCGCTGGCTGCTGTGTGGCATGGATCTCGAGGGAGGGGAGGGCTGGGGCAAGTCTGGGGCAGGGGCAGCCACCAGGGAGTCCACCCTGAGGTCCACGCAGCTGAGAATCCAGGCTGAGGGGGTGGGCGGTGCCTTCCGGGAGGGGCTCGTGGCTCCTCCCCCCTGTGCTCCAAAGGCACGTCCTCTGGTCCTGAATACAGGAAGTGGAGAGGACCCAGGAACTCCAGCGTGGGGTCCGCAGAGTAGGCGTGGCCCATGGTGCCGGACTGTGCCCCTGACAGGTGTGGGACCCGTCTCCTGCAGAAGGTTCCTTGGTTAGCAACGGAGCAGACGCCCTGCCGTCCACAGCGATGAGGGAACCGGCCGGGGTGAGTGCAGGGTTCTGGGTCCAGTGTCTGGTCGTGTCCCGTTGAGATGCTGTTAGGTGGTCAGGTGGCCGAGCGTGAGCAGGGGCGGGAGGGGGCGTCCCCAGGGCCCTCGCCCTCAGCCTGGGTGCAGGGAGAGCTGCGTCTTCATGGTGCTCAGCCCCGGGGCCGGTGCCCGTCCTTGTTGCAGGTCTGCGGCTGGAGCTCTCATTGCCGGCCCGGGAGAGGGCAGCGTGTGCCTAAGGCAGGGCCCGCGGAGGAAGGTTCCAGAGAAAGGCCTTGGTGAGCTGGAGGGCTGCGCCCGCCTTTCCCGCCTCACCGGCGCTTCCGTGGTCCCTCCGCCCCGGGAGCAAGAGATGGAGAAGCCCACGGGCGGGAAGAGGAAGACGTGGAGCCCGGAGCGGGGCGCTGCCAAGGACGAGCCGGCGTCCGCGGGGCGGGGGCCCCCCAGGAGAGCCAATCTGGCCGAGAAGCACAGGCGGGAGCATGGCCTGAGCCCAGAGGACGAGGCCCACATCTTTGACGCCTTCGATGCTTCCTTTAAAGATGACTTCGCGGGGGTTCCCGTGTTCGTCCCTTTTCAGAGGAAGAAGCCCTGCGCGTGCGGGGAGTGCGGACGCGTCTTCAAGCACAAGACAGACCTCACCCGCCACCAGCGCGTCCACACCGGGGAGAAGCCCTTCCGCTGCGGCCAGTGCGGGAAGGCCTTCCGCCACAGCTCCGACGTCACCAAGCACCGGCGGGTCCACACCGGGGAGAAGCCCTTTACGTGCGGAGAGTGCGGGAAGGCCTTCAACTGCGGCTCGAATCTCCTAAAACATCAGAAAACTCACACTGGAGAGAAGCCCTACGAATGCAAGGAATGCGGGAAAACCTTCGCCTACAGCTCCTGCCTCATTCGCCACCGGAAGCGGCACCCCAGGAAGAAGCACTGAGTGGGAGCTGTCCGCTCAGCACCTCCCGCCGCGCCCCCCTGTGGTGTCCACTCTGGCTATGGCCGCTCACTTGCTCCTTCGAGGTCGTTGGTCTGCAGGCTCTTGGCCAGTGGGTCCTGAGCCCATGCCCACGCAGCCGCAGGAGGCCGGTGGCCCGAGCCGGAGAGCAGTGCTTCGGCTGCTGCGGTGACCGTCCTCCTCGGGCTACCAGCCCTTACACTCAGCCCCTGTCCCCGGGAACTGGCCCCCCTGTGTGTCCTCCGGGCCGGCCATCGTCCCAGATAAGCTGCCCGGCTTACCCAGATGGGCCACGTGGGACAGAGCTCCTGGGCCTGAGTTGCCACATGGGTGCTTCCTGCCCGGCCCCGGGCTGGGGTCCCGGATGCTGACGGCACCTGTGGTCCAGCTGCACCTGCCACACGGGCCCCAGCCACCTGCTGGGTGAACTGCGGGGTGGCCTCCTCTGACCAGGGTCCCATCAGGATCCAGGTTGGCCAGGGGGGCGGGGCTGGTGCTGCTGCCCAAACTCCCCTGCGGACCCTGCAGACCTGGTTTCTGAGGCCTGAAGTCACTGTCCCTCCGGGCGAGCACCCAGGGTGCCTCAGCTCCAGTGCAGGCCTGGGTCTTGGCACCGGGGGTGCCCGTGTGGGCTACACGTACGGCTCCACGTGTGCCCGGTGTCCCTGCAGCCTTACCCACACGGCACCCTGGTTCTCTGTTTCCTGTGTCTGTGCGTCTTGGAGTCCGTTTCCTCTCGGGCTTGCGCACTCGGTGCATTGGCCTCTCCTTCCGTCCCCTGGGGAGAGGTCCGTGCCCACGGACCCCGGGCTCAGTGGTCGTGGCCGTCAGCGCTCACACAGTGGTGGCCTTGGGCTGTGGTGGTGCAGACACCAGTCTGGTGCTTCCCACTGTTGACTTATTGTCCAGAAATTAATTCTAACTCGTCAGAGTGGTCCCTTCACACCCTTGGAGGGCGTTCTCTGCTTCCCGTGGTCACCGGGCCTAGCGCCCACCTGGTCTCCCAGCAGGCGGTGCCGCACTGCTTCCTGGTTACTCCACTGCCCCGCACTCGGCCCCGATGCCTCCTGTCCTGGGCTGTTGGCGCCCGTTTTCTCCCGAAATAAACATCTGTCCTGACCCCTTTCCTGTGTCTGTTGACCTCAGCAGCTTGGGGGTGCAGCTGGGATTCCCCAGGGAGGCGTCACTGCCTCCCCCAGAGAAGCTGGCCTGGGCCAGCACGGCCAGAGACCCAGCTGGTTGCTGCCTTCCGTGGGTGTCTTGGGGGGCAGCCTCACGTTAACCAAACCCCTAAGAGACAGCACATAAATCGGAACAGGAATTTGCTAACTGAGGAGTGACCCCTGCAGAGACAAGATACCGAGTTCCTCTGCAGGCACCACCTTTGTGGCCTCCCGACCTGGGAACCTGCAGTCATCACACATGGGGGGGTCTGGGAAGCACCGGGCCAGCCTCCCAGGACCTGGGGCTCCCTGCTTCAGGTCACACCCCCTTGCTCACTCTGCCTGCCTTAGAGCAGGAGAGGCGAGTCTGCCTCCCAGAAGGGATCGGACAATGTCTAGGGATGTTTGCTGTTGTCACACTGACGGGTGGGGGCAGGGAAGCTGCTGGGATCCCACAGGGCGACCCGGAGGAGGTCAGGGGAGCTGCCGGCAGAAACCTGGGGCAGAGGCGGGGGAGGGGGGAACCCTGCGATTGGCTAAGTCTCCGCAAGGAGTAACCAGAACCCCCAGGTCCTGTCCCCCCCAGGGCGACAGGGTGGCCGGGCAAGGAGAGGAAGGATAGACAGGAAGGGGAACTGGTGAGGGTCAGGCCCGCCGCCCTTGTCCACTCTCATGGACAACACACAACACAGTCCGAAACAAGTTATGTGTGAGCTTCCATCACAAGCCTTGGGGCCACTGAGGCGGCAGTCCTCCAGGCGCCCAGAGCGGCCGGAAGTGCGAGCGGCCGGGGCGGGGGGCGGGATCACTT